CTTTTCTCTCACTCCATCTTTTCTTCTTTCTCTCTATCTCCCGCTTCGTACATGTCCTCCCCCTTTATTTCTTCTTTCTCTTCCCCTTCGCGCGCGAGTGAGTATGTCTTCCTCTCTCCTTCAGCGTGTCCCTTTTACTTAGCTTCTCCGCATCCATATCAGACTCTGCCCCCTCTGCAGAATGATCGGCCTGCGAGAGGTCAGAGATTCGGCGAGAGAGCTGAAGCTTCGTGCACCGTTGCTTAACCCGATCGAAATCTAGCTAATCCTGTCAACGACTTCCTCGGGTTGTTTCTTCGTCTCGCGCTGTTTATCCCTGCCGATTCCAAGAATTCACGCACTTCCTGACTCTCCGAGCGAGCTTTTTCATTCGAAACCGACCGACGTTTCGACGTTAATGAAGTTTTAGAGCCCCGCTAAGCTCGCGCTGCTCGCGGCGATTCGCATGCAAACGTTGAATTAACGCTGAATTAATTCGCACTTTATCGCCTGTCCGGCCGATCGCTTTATGCATTTCTACGAGTAATCGGCAACGTCGGCAAGACTAATTTAATTGGCATTGTCGGCATAATTGACGATCGCCGACGAGATTGGCTGGCTGCAGCTCCGATACCGTCGCGAAACGTGAGCTTCCTGTCCGATTCGATGTGAGAAGAAAAAAAATCAATAATAACGACAAGCTGGCTTCGTCGAGATACGTGGAGAATGCGCCGCGATCTTTGATTCGTGTCGAGGAAGGACGGTGAAGAGTGACGTAAAAAAAACTTTTTACATCGGAAGAGCGTTACCTATCGCGGCATTGAAAGGAAAAGATTGCGCTAAAGCGGCGTAAAATTGCAACGCGTACAGATCAAATACCCAGATAGTTTCGTTTTGCACGAAGCCGTCCGCTAAATCGACGAACGGCGGCGGCAGCGGCTAAGCCGCGTTGCCCGCAACGGCAAATTGCGATGTCGTAAATTATACCCCTTGCGAAGTCACAAATTACAAATTGCACACTGAGATATTACAATGTTGCAACTTGCTGAATGATAAAGGCAATTCTGAAACCGCAAGGGAGAAGGTCGTATACAACGACACGGGTAATCCATCTGTCGGCTGGAACTTTTACAATGTAACATTATAATAAAAGAACGCGCTCAATCTTGCAGCCGTTAAATCAACTCCTCCCATTTAATAATACACTCCGCAAAATGAAAATCGCACAATTTGTCGGACGACAAATCAAAGTACATTCCTACATTGTGACTTTTTCCCCCCGGCCTCTCTCATCACAGAAAAAGTGTGACGAACTCGAACTAAACAATAACAAAGGAAGGAGAAAATAAAGAGGATGCGTTTCTCTGCCGGGAGAGAAAAAGAGGCTTACCCGTCGCCGAATGAATTTGGAGCATCAGTCCGATCAGAGACACCAGGAGGAAAGTTCTGTACGGGGATGCCGCGATGTCCTGTCGCGCGGCCGTCATCTCAGGCGGCCCGCGCCAGGTGCTCCCTCGACGTGCCGCTATCCCCGCGATGAAGCTCGCCTCCGCTCCCTCGACTTCCGCCTTCGTTCCCGCCAGGTCTACGACGCGCTTCGCTCCTCCTTCACATCTCATCCACCCTGATCTTCCGATGCTTCTCCCAGCCGGAACGAGGAAGACCGTGGGGACGTTCACTGTTCGCCCGTGGGACTCATATCACTCGGATCCGCACGCGCGTTTCTCTCAGAGTCTGAAAGTGCAAATCGTCTTTTCGCGCCGAGATGATTTCTGCGCTCTCGGATAGAAATCGTGTCTCTCCTCACGCTGTCATCGTGACTCGGAGCGCTCGTCCGCCGCGAAGGCTACCATCGTTAGCGCGCAATTTTTATATCCCTAGCCGCGATTATTATCAGTGGCGCCGACTCGTGATGCCGAACAAGTGCCATTTGTGCTTCTTACTATTTTACGATAGATCGACCACACACGCAATCTCAACTGGGAAAAATCTCAGCTACCCCCCTTTCTTTCCAACATGTCTCACGTATCTGCAAACACGTGTGGTGTTACGCTATTCTCTCGATCGGTCACAACCGCGCGCAACAACCTTTCGTCCTGTCAAAGCGCGCGCGTTTCCTCTCTCTCTTTCCGTCTCCGAACGTCGAGTCTCATTGAATCACGTGGAGATGTCTACACGAACACCTGTGGATGGTCTTCGTGGTCGAAGGTAAAAGTGTAATCGGACGGTCCCTTCATTCGATTCATCGATCGAAGCACGACACTCGGTGCCACCAGCTACGACGAATCATCGCGACACGTGGTGTTGTTTTGCTCGTTTTACCAAATGAAACGCACGTTGCACAAGGATCGCGCGCGCCTCCTCTCTCGAGAGTCCACCGCGCACACGGATGGATCTCGCCACGGTTTTTACCTCGGCGTCATCCTCAGATAGATCGATCGTTCTTTATCTTTTATACCCCACGATCTTTCTCAATGCCGCGCTCGACGGACAGATTCGCGACGATCGCGACGTTCGCTTCGCGACGCGCGGATTCGTCAGTGGAAACCAAGCGCGCGCGAGGCCGCCCGGCAGACTGAGAGAAGCAGTCGACAGTTGGCAGCCAGCAGCACAAGGCGAAACGTTTCGCCGTATGCCGAGCGAAGCTCTGTAAAAGCAACCTGCACACGCGGCCGCGCTGTGTTGTGTCGTCCCCACTTCCCTTTTTCGAGCGCGCGATCGCAGCGGCGGCGGTGGCGGTGGTGGTGGTGACGATGGTGGAGATCGTGATGGCGGTGGAGGTGATAGCGGCGGCAACAGTGGCGGTGACAGCAGCACAGCGATGGTGGCGGAGGTGGCGGCGGCGGCTATCTGTCTGTACGCCTGCCTCCCTGCATGCATGCGTCTCCTCCTTCTTATCCTCATCCTACTTCTGTCTCGTCCACCATACCCTTTGCATTCCTCCTCTCTGCGTCTTGCCTACAGGATCCACCTACGCCTCCCTTTCGCTGCCCTTCTCCTCTTGTTTTTTACGCGTCGCAAGTTTACAGCTGAGAATTTTCCGCTTTCGACGACTGTGTGTGCGCGCGCGCGATGCTCGCTCGAGCGATACAACTTTCTACTCAAGTAGCGAAAAGAAAATTATACGAATTTTTATTCATCCTTTAAGGAGCACTCTTTTACAAAAGGCACTTGTTCGATGGCACAAACGACAGCTAGGTTCGAGAAATTTCAATGCGACAAGTCGAATTATATCCCTCCGACATTACCGGAATGAAAGCGGTATCAAAAACGACGGCTTCAAAGAGCGACACACTCGATGAAACATTTCGTGGAGAAACATAGGTTTGGAAAGGTCGCGCGAGGGTGAGATCGGAAGCAAGGGGAAAAAATGGGGATATAAGTTCGGCACGGAAGACGATACGCACCGTTCCAGCGGCAAGGTGCAATGGTGATTGGTGGTTGCACCGCGCTGGTACGTCTCTTTTATACCGCGCGGCTCGGCGCGACCCCCGACAAAGCGGTACCGCCCCCTGGGCACGTGACGCGATGCTGGATACTCCTCGCAGCGCACCCCGTCGCGACGACCACCCTACTACAGACACCCGCACCCTTCCTTCCTTGCACAGCGATGCACTCTAATTGATATCATTACGCGCCGCCACGGAAAAGAATCGTTCGGCTGTCTAACACGAGGGGAAGATCTTTTCGCACGACGTTACCGTCGATTCGCAAATTTATCCGATCCGCGGCATCGATCTCGCTGCGAAACGAGTGAATCTAGTCTGTATATGGTCCGGCCGTCCGCCTGCAGTCAATGAACGTGATTCACTGTTCGGACGGTCAGCGCGGCGCGAATACATTGGTAGGGATCGTTACGGGCGAGTAACGAGTAAACGCGGAAGGGCGGGACGCGAAAGAGAGGAGGTTTTCCCTCCTTCGGCAAAAAGCGATCGATCGATCGATCGATCTCGCAGTCTAGACTCTCTTCAATGGACGGACTGAATCGTCGTTCGTTTATCAACGGCTGTCCTCGCGCGAGAATGGGGAAACTCGTTTCGTCCGAGCTTTTATTCGCCGGGTCGCGATCTATTGACCCGGTCACCGCCGTGATTTACACAATTCGTCGTCTTCGAGACCATTCATACCCGCGGCGGGAAGTCACGTGCGCTATCGACGACGGCTCGATAGTCTGCACGAAAGCGCAAAAACCCAACAAGTCGGACGGAATGAATGTACAGCGCGGATGTCGCCGATTTTGTCGACAGAGAGAGAAGAGGGTAAGCGGAGTAATTACGCATCGTGTGACTTTGCTTTTAATACTTCGAAACGAGCAAAAACTCGAGCAAGACGGATCGAAATACGGTGTTGGGAATTCTCGCGTGAGTCCTCTCTCGTCGCGAACCTTTTTTCTCGAGGATATCGTAGAGGTAAAAGCGGAGATCTCGCTCGTGTCCGTTGATAGCGGAAAAATCTCACCGACGATTGAGTCACCAAAGATAACGACATAATCATTTTCTTACTCGCAGGACTAAACGTTGCGCGACAACACGTCACGGGACAACAAATCGGCCCAATCTGGCTTCCGGTATGATCGATCGTCGCGTCCGGCCGCATTCGATCGTCGCTGATAGATAAGCGAGACATCTGTGGACGTCTACGTGGCGCGTTAGTAGCATCTGCATGCTGAATTGGCGGCGCATAATCGGCGAGACTGCGTCGAACATTACGTACTGCCAATAGTGTTGCGTAATTGGCGTACTACTATCGTTGAGTCGCGTCCAAAACCGCTCCTCCAAGGTCCTCCTACCTTGTTCTAAGAATTCAATTAAAAGTATGCGGCGAATAGTCAACGAGAGAATTTAATTTCACGATTCTCGTACGGGGATTTCTCGAAGAAACAATGTCTCCTCCCCGCATCAGTAATGTCTGAAGATTTACGCTGCACACGTGCGCAGCGTAACGAGGCGACAGAACTTTTTACACGCGAAAGCTACTACACGTTCGTCCTTTTGAATCATTAGTTGCTCCGGCGGAGCAACGGTATCATACGACGTTTTGCGTTTCTCGCTAACGAACGGAAAGACCGCTGAGTTTCGGCTTAGCGTTTCATCGAAACTTGGTGTGCGAGAGCGGATTGACGGAGCGATAAAACGCGGACATACGCGAACCGCACGCTCGTAGAAACAAATTGCTTGTTTGCGAGATACGCGATGCAGATTGCGGGCGTACCAGGAAAGAATAGAAAGCGGTCATTCCTTGTTGATGACACGTTGACGAGAAACTTGCCTATTCAGATGGCTTCTCTCCCCCGAGCGTCCGTTATCGATGTATAATCTACATGTGCAATTTTCGATAAATTTCCACTCGTTTTCAGTGAGATTTTACGCAAGCGCACTGAAAACGCTCCGTTATAATTAGGAGCGTTCGACAAATCGAGGTGTCAAATTGACGGATATCTCGATCGGCGGAAACGCGCGGTATAACGTCCAGACCGATACCGGCAAAACTGAGAAGGTTTGCTCTCACATGCATAATGCATGCCGCGGAGCAGAGTAATGGCAATAACAGCTCACCTTCTCCACCGGCATGGTGTCCTTTTGTTATTTTTATTTCTCTCCTTCCCCCCGCGTTGTGCTATTTATTACAACACGCGCTCTCTTCTCTCGGACTCGCGCGAGCGAGCGGTAGAGACCCGTTTATTATGCGTCTTCTTCGCGTGCAAACGCACGAAGAAAGAATATCCGTGTGATCTGGTTCGCGGACCACAAGTGAATCAAAACAAGCCTGCGGAATAAAGGAGCCCGGCCGACGGATCACGAAATTTTTAGTGAAAGTCTATCTATAGAAAGTCCTACGCGGATCTGTAGGTGAGTTTTGTGAATGCGCGTGAATCCTTGTGTTCGTCTGCCGAAAACCTAGTTCGATAGATCGAGATCGCGCACGAGACAATCAAAACCGCAGCAACGTACCGCGGCTAAGACGCAACCGCAAATAACCTGTCGTAAGTTTGTAAGAGACATGTCGGCGCGAACGTGTCGACAGATCGATTCAATATGGAAAACGCGGCGCCATTTTTACGTCGACCTTGTAAAAATACAGATTTCTTTTCATCCAAAATCGTCCGAAGAACTTGCTCCTAACAATTCGATTCAACGGAATCCAGGATGCTTCAATGTCGTTTGTAGAACTTATCCTCAACTATATATTTAAGGGAGAAAGAGAGAAGATAGTCTGCAAATTTTTAGCAAATATAATTTATCATATTCGTCCTTCTTTCTCGAGTCTTTTCGTTCGAAGTAGCGTTCGTGTAAAGCCAGCCACCCGGACTGCGGTCAGCGCGCGCGCGAGAGAGAGAGAGAGAGAGAGAGAGAGCGGGGCGAGACTGAATATATCGTCGTTTTGCCACGTCTGCCGGCAGTCTAGACTTCCCGAGTCCTCGAGTCCGGTTGCGACGTCACCGAATGAACAGACTTTTAGGGCGGCGATAAACGTCCATCGTGTTTTGTAACCGGTAGGCAGGTAGACATTCGAGCGGATTGGTTCGGCGGCCCTACCAACCAGTCTTCTGCTATACTCGCTCTACTACGCGAGAGATTGCATACGCATGCACGCGTTTATAATCCTTCGTCATCTGGACGACATTACTTCTACGTTTAAGAAGAGCGCTTTTCCCCCCGGGCGACTTTATCGTCGATAATTCGCCTCCCGACGCGAGAAACGGATGAAAGAGCGGCAGGGAGGAGGAGGGAAACGTTAAGGTATCTCACAACGCAACCTTCCAGCTGCATCCGCGACGCACCTGCCTCCTTCATTCTACGCCGCGCGCACTTTCCAAGAAACCCAACCACTCTCGCGCCGTTTTTCATCAATTGTTCTTGCTGGCACATTCATGCGTCCTCTACGCACCGTAGACCCTCTTCGACTCTTACTATTCACAACCCGCCACCGCCGCGCTTTATCCTCCTTCCCCTAGTGGTCCATTTTCTTCCTCTTCGCTTATTTTCTCTTTAGCGGAGCGGAGTTTAATCCGCGCGAATTTAACATCGCGAAAAATTCTCCCTCTTCCGCTCATTTTCCTTGAATTGTCTATACCTCACGAGATCGGAGCGTTTATTGTGGGAGAAACAAAGAAATGTTCCTCCTCCTAGAACTTTCCTTTCGCAATATCTTCTCCACTGTTTCTCTCGCAAATAAATATATCGGACACCGTTTCACTCTGGTAGCACCGTTGAAATCACAGCACGTCTCGCGCGTAGTAGATACGCGCAGCTCTGGTCAGACGTTACTCGCCATTGACAATGGTCGAGGAGGGCGAGAGACGAACGGGCCCTCTCGGCTCGGAGATCCTGAATGGTAATGATTATAGCAAATTGCTCTTGCTTGGCTTGGGGGTGCCTAATAGCCACTCAGTGGGGCTGTTGAAACCGCGCGCCCCTTCGTTCAACCTTTGATCCCCCCGCCCGAGTCAACCCTTCAAAACTTCATTGTTTCTACCCTGCTCCGCGGTGCGGATGGAAATTCGTTCCCCGTCGATGTTCTCGATATGTCTTACCGCATTTCTCACGCACCGAGTCGCGCAATTTCCACATGTTTCGATGAAAGTATTGAATTCGTGCCAAAATCTTTTTTCATCC